GACTTCTTTGATAAGAAGTCAGCATCTAGCTATTCTATATAGACAATGAGTGAATACTCTTCTCTCATTTCATAAGCAAGAATAGCTGAAGTAATATCTCAGTGACATCTCATTGTCAAGAAAGAGTAATCTGCTGATCTCATATAGAAGTGAGGTTCTCATATTTATCAATCAGATCTTTCTATAATATATCTGAATGATGTCATAGAGCAGTTGAAAACCAGTTCAGATGAGATGAAATCATCCGCATGAAAGTGATGAGCCGTGTGGAACCGCAACGGGGCCTTGGCGCGGCCGGGAGCGTGACAAATGAGATCTGTCGAATTGGCAATGAGACTATCAAAAATTCTGGTCCTGGTCTCAGACACGGTCACACGGTCAGTCTAACTACATCTATCTATAATATAAAGATTATCTATATACTTATTAGAAGATGTAGAATTCACTGTAGATTGAGATTCTATAGAATTATCTTATTATAATTAAGTAACTATAGATTTTATAGATTTGATTTCAATCAATTGAAGAGTTTTATTAAATAACTTTTTCATCTCATCTACTCTACAGATTGCAATCTTACAATTGACATTCTTAATAGTAAGAACTTCATCTACTTGCATCTGTCTGTGAGAGAATTTAATAACTTAATATCTATTTACTTAATAATGATCTGCAAGTTTACTCTTATAATATATATTCAATTTCATCTGAATCATACTACTCTTGAAGATCTTGTTCAATCATCTTATTAAATCAGATGTAAGAGTATTCTTCACATCTTCTAAGGTCTTAACTGCTGTATTAATTTAGTGATATAGTTTTATAATCATCTCTGAGAAGATTAATTACAAGAAGATAGTGATGAAATAAAGTGATTGCATACATCACTATCATTATTATATATGTTGAGATTCAGAGCATTATCAATGATAAGAGGTCTCAATCAATTGAGAATTATATCATGATTAACTGAATACATTTCACAGTCAGCAAAGTCAGCTCTCACAGTATCAGGTTTGAATACTTACAGTCAGACACTTTTCAGAGTAGTAAGAAATTATCTATCATTATACTGCTTATATCTGTAGCAGATAGTCTCATTAATAATATTTAACTGATGAATTCATATCTTAATTATCTCTTTCTGACTGTCATTCAATGCTCAATTCAGTGAAATTCTCATAGTTCTTGATTTCTTCCTGTTGATTCTCTCATATAAGGTGATATATGAGACTTTGAATTCTCACAACAGAGACATGATTTTGAATTTTGAATTGCTTTTATACACATCAACAGCTCTTTGCAACTGCTCCTCAGTGTAATTAGAAGATTTAAACATGGTTATAATTAATGATGATTATTTGAAGATGAAGAATGAAGATATTGAAAATATTTTCTATACAGTGTGGTTTTCCATACACTGTGGCGCACTCACTACAGAGAGTGAGTAAGCATGGCACAGTTAATAGCTACTCTTTTTTTTTTTTTTTTTCTTACTTCTATTACTCTTTTAGCCATCAGAACTTACTTCATCTGTGGAGGCAAAAGATCTTTCCCATCTTCACTGATTTCCATTGGTGTCACACTCTCTTGTGCCTTGGTGCTTTTGATAGGATACTACTTCACCGTATTAACAGGAGGCAGGAAATGATATTCAATCATAGGTGCTACGGTCTATCCAGGGCGGCGTGGAAGTAATGTGATTGGCAAAAGAAGTCCGTAGCATTTGATACAGCGAATAAAAAAAAAAAAAAAGCAATTTTCAGAAAAAGGAGTCAACGTAGAAACTAGAGCAACGAGATAGATGAAGCCAGGCAAAGATGAAGAAAAATGAAATCTATACTCCGTAACTAAATGTTTACAAAATCCATACAAATTTTATATCAAATAAATACACGAAGTGAAACTGACTGGAATGTTGGCCTGATATCATGTTCTAATTTTTTTAATTTTTTTTTTCCTTGGCTAGCACTACCTGAGTACTTCAAGATCATGTAGGATAAGATACATTCACCATGGCAAATTATTCAGTTTTTTATGGAACCATTCCGCAAGGAACCCCAAGGCCGGGGGCCACAAGACACGCTGAGCCTCAAGAATTGAAAATGTTATATAAAACAAAAACGGACGCTCAAGCTACCGGAAAGGTGTAAAACTAATGACGATGGGCATGCCTCTTATGCATACGGACATGGTCCCGTTTGCGACTACCAGCCTCAGGCGCAGCGGTCTCAGCAGCTGCCGCGGCTGCCGCGGCTGCTGTGACGGTCGTTACAACAAATTGCTCATAGTAATTAATCTTGTACACCGAGTTGCCGTTGGTGGACCAGCTCATTGCCACGACCTTTCCGGCGGGGCACTCGCCATCGGGCGCATCGGTTATCTGGGGTTGTGAACCGGAAGGGTGATCGACTATTGAGTAGCCGGGTGCCTCTGTTTCGGACGGGAGTGGCCCGTCGGTGGGCTGTGGGTCGACTGGTTTGACAACGGGCGGCTGGCTGGGCTCTGGTAGTTCGGAATGGGGGTAGTCGGTCGGTGCTTCGCATTCGGAATCGTCATCTTCAGGTGGTTCATTGCCTAGCTCGTCATCAGTTGGCGGTTCATTGCCTGGCTTATCATCGGTAGGCGGCTCATTGCCGGGCTTGTCGTCGGCGGGAGGCTCATTGGTGTCCGGATCCTCACCAGCTGGTGGCTCGGTTTCCACGGGCGGAGGAGGCTGGGTTGGGAACGATGAGGGGGCCTCCTCTACAGACGAAGTGGTTGCAGTCGGGGACGGTTGAGGGTAACCTTGAGACGGCGATGGCTTATCTGGATCTTCTGAGGGTGGAGTGCCCGGCTTTGCGTAGCCGGGGCCGTCTGAAATGGGAACATTTTCTGGCAGTCCATTCGCGCGCCGGTCGAAGCTCTCGCCTTCAAGCATTGGCGGAGTGCGCATCTTGCACTTGTTCTGCACGGAGTCTTTCTGAAGAGTAAATTGGCGACAATCCTGCACAGTTCCAGAGTTGCTGGTGCATTCGTCCACGGCCTTCTGGAGGAATTTCTCATCCCAACCATTCATGAAATCGCCATGATAGCCATACCCTGTGGGGTCACCATTAGAAAAAACAAATCTTCCAGCCTTCCCTTTATAGGCGCTGGTATCCCAAATCGTCTCAAAAAATATAGACACCAGCCGGATGGGGTAGCCGGGGGGGCAGAAGCCATTATCGATGCGACTTGGATAGGCCATATGGTCTTTGTGGTTGGGAGAATCAGTCCGTACTCCATCCCAGCAGGAAGGGAAGAAGATTTCGGAACGGATGCCATGCTTGCAATTGGTATCGATATAATTTTTATCGGGCAACTTGTGAGGAATGTGGTAAGGTTCGGGGTGCTTGTCGTAGTTCAAGCAAGTAAATCCAATGTTTTTTTGAGCGTCTGTGAAGTTGCGTTGGAGATTGCTGCCGGCAAGCATTCTCAGACCAGGGGGGAACGCATGGACTTTCTCTCCAGGCTCGTGCCGTTGAAGGTAGTACCTACTGAGCGTCAGTGCTGGCAACATCATAAACAATACTAAAAAGAACCTTGCTTGCAAGACGACAAATCTTTGAGAAGTGAACCTACACGAGCATTCCACCAACCTGTTTAACCAACTCTGTAGATTTGTCCGGATGCTCAAAGTACAGTGCCGGCGCCCAATACAGGGACATATCCTCAATCACTTCACAGGATGTGCATTCAGATGCCCTGAGCTCGTCATATGTATTGGTCAAGCCAAGATCTAGGAAAGATTAGAGAACCGAGATCAAGCGCCTCAGCCTACACTGGAAATGGAGGCAGCAGAAATGGAGAACGTACTCCCAGCTCCGTGGAGCGCATGAACATGACCGGAGCGTTTTCCAGGATTGACGATGGGATCGATAGGGCCGAGCCCCACGCGGCCGCGGCATGGCAAACGCCAGAACGCCAATGCAGGCGAGATCGTCGCCGCTAGGACGACAAGTAAACGCATTGTTGCGAGAGGTAGAGACCGGCTCTCAAGCAATCTTGATCGGCAAGAATGAGAATCTCGGCCAAAGCGAGTCTATTGGGGCGCTGAGGTGTAGAAAGCAAGCCTCCGACCAAGGGAATTGGACGACAGATATATATATACAATCTATATACGCACGCAGCCTTTCAAGATTGCTATCCTCGCGAGAGAAAAGAATGAATGCCAGAATCTAGCTCTGGCAGGACGAAGAAAGGAGTGTGAGGGCAAGTGACCCCTAAAAAAAAAAAGGACCAAGAAGAAGAATGTTGCGGTTCCAAAGGAGTGGCCTGCTCACTGAGCCATCGAGAAGGGGAGGTGGTGCTCTTTTAATCCAGCCATGAGGGACAGGTAAGAAAGACCAAGAACCCATAATCTAACGAGAGTGTCAATACTCCGTGTGGCTTCCCTTAAGCCTGCCAGCTGTCAGAACATGTCATCCTGGAGTCAGTAAGCGCTGCATGGTTAGCCAGGCACAAGATGAATTGCCTTGCATGTTTCGAGCCAACCAAGCCGCCTCTCACCAGCGGACAAGCGCAGCCGTGTTTTGGATGCGTGATTGCACTTTTATACCAGGGAGTAATTTCCCTGGCCTTTTGCCATGACCTTATTTTTCCTTGGACCAAAAAGCCATTTTCAGGGCGAATAAGAATCACCGGCAGTACAGCTAGTCAAATGTCCAGGAGGGGGCTGACAGTCCGTTTTCTGTCCTCTAGAGCCCGTTCGAATTTCGAACCAGAATCTTGGTTGAACGGTGACCAGTGACGTCCAGGGAAGCTTATTAAAAGAAGCCTAAAACTCCATAAATAGATGCGTGTGTGAGGGTGGTTGGGCAATCGAGCCTCCAGATTCTCTCGGCGGCCCCCCTTTCAATGCCAACATGCCCAAAATCTCATCTGTCACTCTGGCTAGAAAACAATTACCGAGATTTGTCACGTAGTTACTCTTCTTGCCCTAGTAACAAAGTTCAGTGTACTCGAAAGAATATTAGAAGTTTTGGAATTAACTTACTACCTCGGTGCTCATTCTTTTCCGCTGCAGCGTATCAGTTCTTGTCCAGATTTTCTCATCGAGGCTGCTATGCAAATAATGGGCGCTGAAGCGAGGCGATGTTGATGCTATTTTGCTCGAGTCCAACTTCGAACTAGCCTTGAATTTGCATGCTCGAAACGACTCCCGAGAGAAACCCGCTAAGGTGCAGCGGCGTGTCGCATCTTATTTAGCATCACAGACGGTTGTTTTGGTCCAAGGAACACAAAATCTCACTCGAAGCTCGAACATCAGCCTCACCCACAAGCAAATTCCGAAGCTCCAGTTCGTTCGGCTCTTTGCTCGAATTCTTGACCAAACCGCTGGGCCCTGGTTGCCACGTTATCATGGCAGCAAAACCCCCCGGGTTGATATTGGTCCCGGAACCGCTAATTTCTCGGAGATTGCAGGTCATGACAAGGATGGGATGCATGGAGATCAAGTGTTCGGGGTTTCTTTCAAGTCATCCACATCCACCACATTACGTTCGCTCGAAGAGGCATGGAACACTCACACTTTTTAATTAAGAAGTACGCTTCGTGGCATTACTCTGTGCAAGAAAATAGAATAAAGATGAAGAAATGCATCCAGCATAAGCGTCGGTCACCACAGCCTCTTGAAGAGTTTTTGAAATTATATTGCAGTTCACAGATGGTCAGGTCAGGTTGCCACACACACTGTCAAAGGTCAAAGTGATTCTTCAACCTCTCAAGGCCAAATGTAGTTGTCATCTAAGTCAGTTTTTACATCTGTATCTCCATGCAGAGTTCTTTTGCCTATCAGAAGATGATTGCGCTGACCAAAAGCATATGGCTAGTTCCTTGGACCAGAATAGAATGTGATGTGGAAAGGGCATCCAGAGTTATCAATTGTATGACTTTTGCAGCCATCGACTTCTGCAACATCAACATCCAGAAATCCAGGCCAACAAACCTTTGATGGGCCTATGGTTCAAAAGACAGCCTCGGTACACACAAGAACCGTACATACACCACAGTCCTTTGGGATGATGAGGATAAATGATGATGAAAATGAAGAGTACTCAGAGCTCGTGCGGAATAATCGAATTATTCATTTAAGCCGAGATGGCCTCGTTTTGATGTTCTGAAGCAGGCTCTGTATATAATCACCCCATCGAGCAGCAATCATCAAATGTACTCTCGGGCGATGCACATAACATACCATTTCTCGATATTTCCCCACGAAACTCACGGACCATGTTCTGAACTTTAGAGCGACCGGGTTAGCCTTGACCTGTTGATAGGCATTGGGCCACTCCAATCGAAATCACCCTTGAAAATGGGCCGGATGAAGAACCGCCCGCAGTGGATATGGATAATGGATACCCAAGGGAAACCAAAACACACGGGCCAGATTTACTACCTGCGGTGGTAGATATTGTTCAGAAGCCCTTAGCTAGAGCTGAGTGACTGGATGTATGTACATTACATACAGTACAGTCTATTGTGCCTCTTATATCACGAGCAATTGGTGCACAGTACAGGCCAGGTAAGCTGTTCCCTGTCTGGAATTCAAGAGCTGAGATTGTATGTATGTACATGTACATGTACATTACTTGGGGTTATTGGTAACAAGCAACAACCAACAACAACATTAGAAAATAATAAAAGACTTTCGCGAAAAAATGAGGTGCTTTGAGGAGGGCTTTTTTTGCCCTAGAGAGTTAGCAATGGCTGTAATTTCACAGCAATTCTGCAAGTATAGAAAGTACGGAGCTACAAGGACATTCAAAGGCCTGACTGAATAAGGAGACCTTCTTCAACAATCAAAACAGGATTTGAATTGAAAATAAAATAAAATAAAATAAAAAATAGTAACTAATTAGTTACCTTCATAATAGGCAACACAATAGTTCAAGAGTATAGTCAAAACAAAAACTAACTATTTGATAAGAGTTGATGATAAAAAGGTTGACTGACCATGGGCGGGAAGGTTTTCAATGAAAAATCTTCAACCAAGCCAGCCAGCCCTAATTTGGTGTTCGGGGGGGAAGAAAGGACTCGTAAGTGGCGCCTTATGATCTCCCGGCGACCACCGATAGAGATGGGTCCGCCGCCTTCTGGGTCCCACCCCACCCCACTCACTGCCAGTAGCAGTACGGAGTAGTAGAAATGGAACGAAAAGAGAGGAGGAGAGAAGAGAGGGAAAGAATATATATGTATGAACGAAAAGAATCGATATAAATAGAGATATATATATATATATAAATAAGAGAATACCAAGAAACGGAGATATGCATCTCATTCGCCCTGGTATTTTTCCGAGACTTTGGAACTTCTCCTTCTCCGCAACCACCAAGGCATATATCTCATCTCATCTCATCCCATCTCAGCCCCAGAATGATGAAGAAAAAAAAAAATTAAATTTCTCAAACCATGATGATTCAAGACCTCTGTCCTAAAACATTCAACACAACGCCTCACACAAAACCTTCAACCCACATGCAAAATAAAAATCCAGCTCTTAAAAGAACAAACGCCAAGTTTAACAAACCTCTCTCTCTTTTTCAAGTGGCTTTGATATGCAAAAAAGAAAAAAAGAAAAAAAAAAAAAAAAAAAAAAAAAAAAAAAAAAAAAAAAAAAAAAAGGCGAGGGTTCCATCTTGGACTCCCAACGCCTGAATGCAACGTTGGCGAATTAATTATGAATGATACATGATAAATGATACATGCATACGAGAACGCCTTGCATTTAATATATATCCCACGCCCGTTTCCTCTATATGGAATTAACAAGATAGTCATGGGTTCGGATTTCTGCAGAGCTTAAGAAGTTTTAGCGGGCATTAGAGCCGACTATTGCCAGCTGAAGCTCTACTATGCGTAAAGGAGGGGGTGATGTGATTGATGGCTGGAGAATCATGCATGAATGGTTGATGTGGTTTATGGTTTGGTCAGTGAGTGAGGAAAAGGTTGTTGAGGACGGAGTGATATGCTGTGTATGTAGAATATGTATGTGTATCTTGGAAAAGTTGGAAAATCAGTCAAAGGCTTGATTGAATGAAAGAACAGAGTACTCTGTACAATATCGGGTGCTCTTGAAGCAACTTCTCAGTGAAAAGAAGTCTATATATGTAAGAGACTGTTTGATTGACTTTCTTCTCCATATACAATTCTGCTGATACGGAGTAAAATGGCATGTCATTCATGAAGACCTTGTGTATTAGACAGACAAATGTTTCTATATATTCATTTGAGAGTTGAGAAAGAGTATCATTGATACAGCTGTAATCTGATTGAAAATCAAAAGTCTCCAGCAACACATTATTCTTCAATCTCTGGGTAATAAAATAGAATAGTGAAATACTCATTCATAAGAATTCTTAAATGTAATTAGCATATCTTCTTCTATTTCTGAACATCAGAGCTTCCAGCTATTTTACTTGCAAGGTTAGAAGAGAGAATGTTCAGCACTCAGATACATACTGATGATAGATATATTTAGAATAATAACAGTTACTTCTGTTCAGAACTATTCTAAGCATTGTTGACAGAGTTTCCACATATCTATATCTCTCTCATTCTTGAAATCCTCTGCCATATATGTACTGTACCTGAATCAAGAAAACAGATTAGTTCCGTTCAAGTGATACTTAGGATATACAATTCCCCGTTGGCCGGGAGAGGTAATTTTGGTAATTTTTGCGCAGCGGACAAAATAATAATAATAATATAAATATATTCCGCACATACATACATCATTGTAACTGTACACAGCTGGTACAGTACATTACATACAGTACGTACGTACCTGCACAGCCCTCGAGTCACCAGTGTTACAATGTTACAATGTGATCACGGTGCCATTTTCTCCGCTGTGAGACTAGGCCTGATGTAGTTTAACAGTGTCCACCCGACAGGGGTACGCACCGCACTTCCAGCCAATAGAAACGCGGAACCGGCCTCGAATGGAGTCAAAACGGGCAATGATGTATGGGTCTAATCCAATCGGGTGTAAGGCACAACGGCCTGGCTCCACGTGGTGTCTCAGAACAGAAACTTACTCCCGTTATTTACAATAATAACACTGTATTCTGCTGCAGCGGGTATTGCCCATCCCCCGCACGGACGAGATCTGGTATTAAGCGGTATCGGGTTTCGACTCCTGATGCTGTTTTTTTGCCTCGTAACTACAGCGTACAGCGTACTCTGTAATTAATCAACATCCAGTTCGTTCGTTTCGTTTCGTTTCGTTTCGTTTCGTTCGTTCGTTTTTTTTCCGTTTCTCTCGTTTCTTTCTTCCACATCCACATTCCACATCCAACAATCTTCATTCATCCATTCCTCTATCACTACTTTCCATCCCGCGCTTGTTGCGACGACTTTCATTCTCTCTCTCGCCGTATCCATTTTCTTTCCTTTCTATCTTCAATCTCTCGTTTAATGTTCCTTTGATATATATACATACCTCCATCCATCTATCTATCTGGATCTGGTGGCTACTAGTTTCCTCAATCAGGCCGCGTAACCCTCGCTCGCTCCCCTCTTGTCCTCCAGTCGCTCGCTGCCAGCCACCGCCAGTCACGATGCGGTGGACACCCTCCTTATCCCTTCTGCTGCTCTCAGTCCTCTTGCTCGCCATAACCGTCGTTGGCGCTGAGCAACCAAATCACCATGGCAGGAAGAGACAGATAATCAGCATCGACGACCCAGCGGCATCAGCGACCGAATCTCCATCCGAAGAACCAACAACCACCACCACCACCACCTCCACCACCAGCACACGAGAAGACCCAACAACCACTTCAGAAACCGCCAAAGAAGAACCAACCACCAAACCCAGCGATTCCCCCACCTCCAAAACCACCACCAACCGCCCAACCCGACCAACAGATCGAACAACCCCCCGTCCCACCCGCACACCCACCCCGCCTCCAACCCGCTCCTCCGTCATCATCGTCACAAACACCATAACCCTCAGCGGCAGCACCTATGAACAAACCTCTGCCTCAACCATCGCTCCAGGCCAAACCCTAGCCCCAGGCCTCGGTAACGACGCTGGTGGCCGCCGCACCTCCTCCGGCCTCAGCGAGTCCTCCGAGCGCATCATCATCGGCGTCGTAGTCGGTGTAGGCGGCGCCGTCATCCTGGGCGGCCTGGCCTTCGTCGCATGGCGGTTGCGCCGCAAGCGCAACGCACGCGGCCTGGGCGACGACGACGACCTGATGAACGCCGGCACAGCCGTTGGCTCGTCGAGCCTTGAGACCTCGACCACGGCGGCGGGGGCGAGCCCGTTCAAGTCTACGTTGGATCAGTATCATCATCCTGGCGGGGTGAATCCGTCGTCGAATTTTTAGATGATGAGAAGGGGCGACTTCGTGTTTTTTCTCTCTCTTTTTTTTTCTTTTCTCTGGTTGCTTTCACTTTTTACTTGAAGATTGTAAAATGCGCGGCATTTGATTAGAATCTGGGCATGAAGCATCGCTTAAGGTGTGCGAAACAAGCTTTTTTTTTTTTTTTTTCTTCGCCTGGAAGAAGTTGGGGTTGATGATGTTTTTTTATTTTAATGTTGGCTGGCTGCATTATTTTCCTGTGTTTTGTTGTCAGGTCATATCCCCGCTCTCAACACTGACACGGATGGTTTTTTTTTTTTTTTTTTTTTTTTTTTTTTTTTTTTTTTTTTTTTTTTGGGGGGGGAAATTTTGAACTTATGGGCTTGGAGTTAGAACTTGATATCTTTTTTCTTTTGTTTCCTCATGTTTTATATTTCTTTATTGTCTTCTTTATTATTTCCATTTGAATTATTTCCTTTCTCACAGCCAATCTTTCAACAACAGAAAACCCCCCAAAAAAACTCTTACAGAAAGGAAAGCACTTTGAAAGCAAGCACATCACCACCACACTGCACTGTGAAAGGAATGAGAACTTATCTCTCGTCAGCTACCTACAAATTAACTATAATGATTAATACTCTCTTTGATATATTACATAGCATCATCATTATTGCATCTGATTCTGATACACCTGTTATATACATTTCAACTCTCTTGTCAATTAAAGCGCTCATGTTGTTGGAAAACCTCCGGCCAAATCAGCAAGCAGTATGGAACTTCATTGTAGTAGGCAGGTATTCATATAGTTATATGAGCCTCCCATGGCAGACTACATAGCTGCCACAAGCATATATGCATGTATGGCGCTCTAGATATACAATATACCTGTGCCATATGACATATTCAAGTGGGGGTATCCTTACGCATTGCCAGGAGGAAAGTCGTCAACGCATTGTGCATTATAAAGGGACAGGATCAGCCTCCCTGCTCCTCTCTTGGTATTATTATTCCAGCCCATAAACGCCCTCATTAATCACTCTTGGTAAGACAACTGCTATTGAGTGGGGGGTGTGGAAAGACTCGCTGAAACAGAGGGGAAAAAAAGAAAAGAAGAGAAAAGAAAAGAAGAGAAAAGAAAAGAAAAGAAAAAAGAAGAGAAAAGAAGAGAAAAGAAAAGAAAAGAAAAGAAAAGAAAAATCACCACTGAAATCAAAAACCTACTCACTCCCCCCCCTTCCCCTTGGGCTCCGTGACATACCCATGCCTGGCAAGCTTGCCATCCTCCAACACAACAAAATACTCCGCATCCTTGATAGCTTCTAGCCGGTGCGCGATCGTCACAACAGTCGAGTCCCTCAGCTCCTCGCGGATAATCTGCTGGATCTCTAGGGAGCTCTCATGGTCAATCGACGCCGTCGCCTCGTCGAGAATGACGATGGGGCTCCGTCGCAGCACCGCTCTTGACAGGCCGATTAGCTGGCGCGGGCCGTGGCTAAGGTTGCGACCGCCCGCCTCGACGTCTGTATCCAGCGTCCACCCGTGCCTGTTCTGGTTCTGGCAAACGCGGCGGAGGACATCCGCACACTCGGCATCGGAGTAGTCGCCTACCGGGTCCAGATTCAGCCGGATGCTACCGGGGAAGAGAACGGGGCTCCTGCGCAACGAAGGTGACGCGCTGCCGCAGGGCCTGCGTGTGCACGCACCTTGGCGATGTCGATGTTATCGATCAGAATGCGACCGGAGTCCGGGCGTACGACGTTCAGGAGAGACAGAGCCAGGGTCGACTTGCCGCTCCCCGTGCGGCCCATCACGGCGGTAGAGGATCCTCCCGGGATCCGAAGGGAAATGTTCAACAGAGACGGGTCGAGATGAGGTGCGTAACGCACAGTCGCGTCTTCAACGACCATATCGGAGCCGAAACGGGGCCACGCAGCTGGTGGCTCAATGCTGCCGGACGGCTCCTGCTCGACATGACACAGTTCGTCAACCCTCTCCACAGACACGAAATCCATCTGGATCTGGCCATACTGTAGGTACAGGGACTTGATAGATACGACAAAGCCGTCTGCCGCGACGAGGACAAACGCAATCATGCCCGCGGAGATACCGGTATAGAGAGCCAATATAGTAAGGCAGAAAATCGACATGGCAGACAGGCTTTGGAAGCGATATGTCAACCAGGCCTGCAGGGACCAATAGAAGTGGTCCATGCCTTGGAATTTATCAACGACGCCAATGACTCGATCCATGAACCGTTTCTCCGCGTGGAACGCACGGACGGTAGTCAAGCCATGTAGAAGCTCGCCAAAACTCGACATCAGCGGGGCTCAGCGAAACCATTTCCAAGTGCCTTAGATGCTGCGACGACGGGAAAAATCGCAAAAATATGTAGACGAATGTACCGGTCAGCACCACCGTGAACGCTAAGAAACTCGGAGTAATAGATGCAATCACTACGACGGAGGTTACCCAGGTGATCGCCATGAAGCTGAATAGCCTGAACTGCTGGCTGATGTTGCCATCCACAACGCCAATATCTGAGGTGAGGCGGTTCATCAGTCGGCCTATTGGCGTCACATCGAAGTATCTGAATGTCGCCGAGCTCACACGCACCATGGCTCGGGTAAACATTGTTTTGCTGGCATAGTATACGACGACAACCATTACAAGGGATGCGAGTAGGAGGTTGATGGTTTGGAGCGTGGTGATGGCAAGAAAAGCCCAGAGCCACGGGCGAACATCGTCAGCGGGCCGTGGGAATGTGTCGGAGGGTGTCGTGGGGAGGATAAAAGCTTCCACGGCAGGAAGAGACTGAGACTGAGACCTATCAATATTGGACATGCCGTGATTGCTGCCCATGAAGCGCATTAATACCTGCTCCTTCTCATACGCTTCGCCCTAGTCTTTGAGAAACCAAGACCGGCCAACCGCGGACAAGCGGTAGACTGTCAAGACAACAACGAGCACAGCCCACCATCTGAGTTTGCCCGCCTTGATGTAGCCCCAATAAACACTGCCCTTAACCCCCCCTTTGGCCCGATGTTCTTCCTCGATGAATTTGTCAGGCACTGTCTCCGAAAGCTCGTCAACAGGGCTTTCAGGCGCTGTTTGCGTTGTGTCATCTGTCGGGGTTCCTTCCCGAGTGTTATCCCCGATCAGCATTGAACGGATATATTCCTTATCATACGTTGTAGCCCGTCCGTCGTCGATGCTAATGATTTGTTGCGCAAGACTGTGAACCAGCGTTGTGCGGTGAGTAACAAGGACAACGGTTCGGTTCTGCATTAAAGGTCCAGACAGACATTTGCTGACCACTGCCTCTGCGGTGTTAAAATCGAGGGCTGACAAGGGATCATCAAGAAGAAGAACTTTAGCTGAGCTGTATACAGCTCTTGCAAGCGCGACACTTGCCTTTTGGCCGCCAGAAAGCCCAGTGCCGTTCTCTCCAATAAGAGTTAGATCCCCATGTTTAAAGCTAGCCATATCTTGACCTAGGCAACAGGCATCCAAAACTAGTTTATAACGTCTCTCATCATATGGTAATGAGAACAGAATATTTTCTCGAATGCTCATGCTTTGTAACCATGGTGTTTGGGCGAAGTAACTAGTCATATGATTAGGAATATGAGAGACACCTGTTGTTTTATCCATTTCGCCGAGTAGCGCTGGCAGGAAAGCCGTCTTCCCAGAGCCAACCTTCCCTGAAACAACAGTCAAGCCCTCGGGAATCGTAACACATAGATCCGAAAGAACAGGAGCGTCAGTCCCGGGCCAGGCATAAAACTACAAGACTCAAGTTGGATAGGGCCGGAATCCACAGAATCATCGGATGGCTCCGTTTCCTTGTCTGGTTCTGACATGAAATCTTCGATCCTTCCCAGCGCAACTGAGGCGTTCATAAAAATAGTAATTAGGTTTGGGATACGTTGAATGCGTATCTCCAGCATGGTGAAAAGATGCAAAGCAGGGAAAATGATATCGATACTCAACTGTTGCTGAGCCAAGACAGTATAGGCATAGAGGGCCACAACGGGAAACAATCCGCTGGAAAGGGAACTAACTACCCCAAGCATAATTCCCCAGACGCCCGTAATGATGCGCAGACGTAGTTCGTGTTTTCTGGCGTCCGCGACCTGATTTAGCCAGTGTTTCTGCCATCCATACCATCTCAGGTGACGGATTGCTTCGACAAATTGAGAAGTAATTCGAAGTCGAGAGTCCGTCGCTTTTCTTCTTACCCGCTCCCAGCGAACCAGTATCCAGGTGATGAAGGCGTTGAGAACCTGAGCGACTAGCACAGTGACGACACCGAGTAGACATGACGGCCCAAGTAGGCTCCACACTAGGAAAATGGCAATAATCAGCCCGAGGGTAGCATCGAGTAGAGAATCAAACTGCCAAAATCGCTCGGAAATCTCGTAGACATCCCCTTGGATAAGGTTCAATATTTTTCCCATTGATGCAGCCTCGTTTGATTCTGTGCCGCTGTCGCTGGTTCTACTTGATTTGAATGGATTCCACCACGGGGCTCTTCTCTTCTTGGCTGACTTCTTCCCATCATCCGCGTACTCGCCCGGAGGCTCTTCGGTTTCGCGAGTGGCCCCAGAAGATTCCGCTTGAAGCTTTTGACCGGACACGTTCTTCCTTGACAAAGCCTTTTCATAAACCATCATGATCATCTCGCCACGGCTTCTCTCGTAGCATCGTCTACCATACCAAAGATTTAAGACTTGCACTTGTGCTCCAACCACACGGATCATCATCGTTAAGAATGCATACGTAAGAGGCATCCGCTTAGGAATGGCTGGGTCTTTGGTAACCTGTAGGAGCTTCTGCAGGAGAAGTGGTGAAGAGGAATCTAATAGTCGTTAAAAAGGACAATTCAGTCATAGATAGAAAAATGCCCACCTACCGCAAGCTGTTCTCACAAACCAAATCAGTGTCAAGATGAGCAGGTCAATTCCATTCGCTTGTAGCACCCGGCTAAGCACTGACCCTTTGAGCCGACTAAACCTCTCGTGCAGCCTATGGTGCTGAAACTCAAATGGAAGAAACCAAACGTCTTCTTCGTTCAACTGTCGTCGCTTTCCTGCAGCAATCAGCGGTGCCATCCAGGAGACACTGAGAAATTGCCAGTCGCAAGTTGTCCTCGGGGCTCCGCAGTGTGCTATCCGGTCGATGGCCAACTGGACTTATATCGCTAGATGTAGCGGATGCCAGACGGAATGGCATAAGAAGGATGGTGAAAGATGCTGTTCCCGCCGCGACAGCTGAAGCATAACCAGCGACGGCATCAAGTACATTAGACCTGTCAGTAAACGGAGTTGAATGGGAGTCTAACTACGAGGACTGCAGTGAAATACACGAGCATCAAAAGTGGGCAAGTCCTTGGGCGTTTAACAATAATCAGCAGCATAGCAACAACCTGCTCGCGCGTCAGTGATGCGGCCTTGACGGATGTAGCAGGCTGGACGACACACCCATGATAAGGGGAGAATTGCGTCGCTCCAAACAAACGGGCTGTAGGTCAAGCGGACAAAATCAGCAACCAAACCCAGGAATATTTCGAAGTATAGAGCGATCACCCAAGTTGGTGGAGATTCGCCCTCTTCAGGTGGTAGCTCGGATAATTGACCGCCAGTCTCGAGAACGAAAGGGCCGCAACCACCCCGGGCGCCACTGGGGCACGTAATGGTCCAGCATGTAGTAGAGAGAGATGAGAGTAATCAAAATGGCAGGAATAAAAGACAAATATGGTTCCGCACAGGGCGAGAACCGCGCATTGTCAGGATCCTGCGATCCAAATTAGTTCGTTTCCTGTTGAACACCATAACAGCGCAGAATATTATTACCCATATTGTACGGCAATGACCCAATTGAAGTCCGTTTCGCATTGGTTGCGGAAGGGCCTGTTGTTGTAGTGATATAGATCCCATGGTCCCAAGGCGTATGTATTTAGCTTCGCCAGGATATTCGAGGTGAGGTGAGAGGTGTGAGGACGTCTCATAGCGTCGGTGGTATATTCTTCCGATAGTTATCTGTTTGTTGGATGTTGAACGATCGATGTAGTAAGTACCTTGAGACAGGCCAGCGTGGTTCAGAAAATTTTCGAACTTTTGATGCAGCACTATATATAACTATACGGGATATTTTTCAAAAGCAGTAGTCAATCCACAATGATCTATGCTGTATGCAAAATAACAAGCACAAGCTGTCTAGAAAAACAGATGTCAGATGTGCTGACAGAAATTCTGCTCTGTATGATTTCTTTTTTTAACTCAGTAATTACACTGCTTTCTCATACGAAGATAGCCATCATGGCAAGATGTCTATTAGACTCTAGTATATACAGTTGAATTCTAAGATACTCAATATAAGATCTCAAGTCATTCTCATTTTATGATCCTCGCCTCGTACATGTACCACTACCATCTATTCTCTCGTTATCGTATTTATCTATTGCTTACATATGCTGTAACTACATCGAGTAGATTCTTACTATATGTTAACCGACCACAATTCATACTAGAAACACCAACCAGTTAATGAGAAAGTGTTGTCCAAAGTCGCGGATAATAACAATATAACTCACTCCTACATCGGTATACATTGAACAGCCGTTTGTCGAGACCTCGAGACCTCGGCAGTTGCAAACCAGTTAAACCTAAAACAGCCTAGCGTTTTTACGCGTGAGTGATGTAACTAATCAGTCGCGTCCTTCAACCATCGAACAATCAGGATATATTTTCTTGAACGCTTCACGCAATGGCCAGTATCTAACAGAAAACCACTCTTCTACTTCCCAACATACATCACACCCAGTCATTAAAACATAATAATGTTTACCACCATCTCCCAACCAGCTCCTTTCACGAGACTCTTCTCCCACCACCACACATCACAACCACACAATCCCTCCCCCCTCGCCCCGCGCCATGCGAACCTAACCTCATCCCAGGCCCCTACTACAATGCCAATGTCGCACTCAAAACCCCAATCGCCGCGCATAGAGCATAAACATACACACAAGCAAGAGAAATCGACAACAACAAGAGCAACATCACCCAAACAATCCTACTACGCCGACCGCTACGCCAACAACTCACCGAAGGCCCAACTCGCGCGCCAAAAGGCCTCCCGTGAACAACAACGGCGCGATATCTTCCTGAATAGAGTGAAGCGAGATCGCGACGAGGGCAGATTCGACGCTAGAAGCGAGCAGATTCAGCGGATTAACTATTTGGCGCAGCAGCGGAGGTATCAAGAGGCGATTGCGAGGTCTGCGCCGGATGTGGGGCCATTGATGGAGGAGGTGGAAGACGGAGGGGGAGAGGGAGAGGGAGGTGGGATGGTATTTGATGACGGGGCTGAGGGGTTGGGTGGTGTTGAAGGTATGTATACATACATATATCTATACGTGGTGCCTGCCCTCTCAGAGGGCTTTTGTTTCACTTGAGTTGCTTTGTCTTTGCCACTTTCCCCTTGTGCTAATATAAACCCATTTCAACAGACGAACGCATCCTCGAAGAATTCATTTCCCAGGAGGAAGAATACCAGGCCTTCTTAGAGGAATTGGAGCCCTTGCGGGATGTCGAACAACAGTCCCAACAGGGCGACGGCCCGCCAAGCTCCCAGTACGACGATGAAGAAGACTATGAGAATATTTTTGCTGAGTTGCTTATCGGAGATGACGACCAGGATAATCAGCATCAGCATACAATATCATCAGACCAAAATGACAGCATGCATGATAGGATGGATATGTCGTGTGGGTAGACGTGCTATTTGAAGTGTGCGTGTTTTAGAGGTGCATTTTCAAAGTGGCGTTTTGCTGGGCTTCAGGTGGTAGATCCAATATTATTTATTATATTTTTATTTTCTGTCACTCTGTGTTTATTTACTTTCCTTTGGACGATCGATGTATTGAACGCGTTTGTGTAGCAGTGGGCAACGTTTTCTGTTTTTTTTGTAAAAAAAAAACCATTCATGAAAGAAGTAGTTCTATGGGATATTGAAGAGAGGTAGTTAGAGACGCGGGGTATCTGGATTCTTTCTCTTTTTTCACGTTCCTTTTTATTTATGTACATATAGAGTACACGGTACGGTACGGGGGATGAGAATGGTCATTGCGCCAGGTGGGTGGGATATCAAAAAGTTAATATCAGGCGGCCTGAGAAAAGATGTCGAGATACATATAAAGAAAAATAGAGAGGGGGGGCGAAGAAATGGAAAGGGACATGGAAAATTTCAAGAAATAATAAATAAATTCATTCTACCAGGAGTATTATTATTGCTGGGGACATTGCGGCGTCTCAGCGTCTCCTCCCCCGCCAGCGAAAGCGCCTGGGAGCCCGAGTTCATCCGCCAGCGGATTCGACACCAGGGCATCAGGCGGGCTACCCGCAGCTTGCATCTATTATCACGAATCGTTAATTAGCCCGCTGCCCTTGTGGAAAAGAAAAAAAAAAAAAAAAAAAGAGGGGGGGGAGTAAGGGTTAAAGCCTACCTTCTGCATCTTCTCCCAGATATACGCCCTATCCGCCGGCTTCTCATCCGAATACCCCTCCTCATCAAACTTGCCTACAATCTCCGCCACGAGCACAGACTGCAATTCATACCTCTCCAAATCCTCCTTGGGCACCTTGTCCCGATTCTCCAACAGCCAGGGGCCGAATTTGGCATGCAGCTCCTTCATGGGCTCGTAGAGCATCTCCTTATTCGACAGCTGCTCCATGATGCCCATGAAGATTTTATCGAGGTTCTCATCGTCGCCGCCACCAGCACCACCAGCGCCAGCTCCAGACTCCATCGCTTTGAGTAGCTGCATGAGCATATCGTCGCCGCCATCCTCCGTCGCTGCGGCGGTGGCTTTGTCGCCGGACGCCTGCATCCGCTCCATCGTCTTGCGGATCGTTTCCTGGAACCCGTCTTCTGCTTTGCTGGCACTACTACTACCAGCAGTACCGGCGGCGGTAGAACCGGATTTGGCGTCCCCCTGTCCCTTTCCGTCCTTATTACCACCGCCCAGGTCCGCCTCGGATCCTCCAGCTAACGCACCAGGACCCCCCTCCCCCATAAGGAGTTTCATAATAGCCGCCGGGTCCATGTCTCCCTGCGCCATTTGCTGTGCCAGTGCATCCCAGTCTGGCTCACCGTCGCCGTCACCGCCGCCACCGCCTTGGCCGCCAGCGGTTGCCGAGCCCATGAGCTCTGCCATGCTTTGTTCGAGCTGCTGGATGAAGGCGTTTTCATCGAGGTCCGATTCGGGTGCTCTGGTGGCGTTTTGGTCGGGTAGTAATGATGATGGTGGTGGCTGTGGTGCTGTGGTAGAGAGGGATGGGGCGTTCTTGCTGGAAGAGGGTGCGGCAGAAGTGGGCTTCTTTGATGTAGAGAAATCGTCCAGGACGTCTGTGTGGTGATTTTTGATTAGGTGGTTCTTTATATAGATATGCATATGCATATCTGTATACATTATGGTATATTTTGATCTGCTCCTTTTCCTTTTCTTTTTTTTTCGTTCATCTCGCTTTGCAGAGAATAGTTTCAATCAAAGCAGAAAGATAAGATATCTATCCAAACTCACCATCTAAATCCTCAAAATCTGACCCCTCCTCCTCTTCATCTCCTTTTGGCGCAGCAGCGATAGTCTGGGCAGGAGCTTGATTGCCATCATCCCCAGCCTCCGTCACCCCCGCCGCGAGGGCCGCGGTTGTTGAACTCGGCTCATCCTGTTGCTTCATGTCCTCTGCGACAGGTTCTGCAGTACCAGCTTCCACCGGGACAGCTATACTTTCCTCCTCCTCTGTCTTCTTCCGCTTCCCCTCGTCGGCCATCACTCCGGTTTTTTTTTCTTTACTATTGATTTGCTGTCTTGATTTTCGTTGTCTATTGCCGAAAGAGAGTTCGACGGGCGGGGTAGAGAAAGGAATTCGACGCGGGTTTTGATTTGAGGACGGGATGGATTAACTTAACCAGAGAGTCGAGGAGGGTGGCTTCTTTAGATTAAGATAAACCGAACCGAAGGGTGTAGCTGGTGGAGTTCAATGTTGATGTTTGGTGGTTTTGGTTTCCGTTCCATTCTGGTCTCTCGCTCGGCAAAAAACCCATGCACACAAGCTTGGTGTTGTTCCGAAGCACATGCGGGCGGTTGGTAACTTTCCAGGGCTTCTTTCAGCACCAACAACCCAACCGCCGACAACGATATCCATTTATTACTAGGCATGATATAGAGTAATGATAATGATTTTTAAACATAGTTACTCATAAACTTGCCCTATCTTGAGAAATATTATCTAGAGAGTAAGTTACTCCGTATTGTATCAAATACCAAACAAGTGTTCGAGGAACCCGCCAAGAACGGCTGAAATAAACCCTGCTTTTTCGGGAGGCTCATTGTATCAACATATTCCCATGAAATACAGCGTAGTCATGTAGATATTAAATGCCACTTCTGCAACTCGCAGCCTCAAGCGCTGCCGTTGAATCATTTTAGAGCCAGCCTGCTGCTGCTACCTGTACCCCAACCGCACAATACCGCTCACACCAAACATCGTCATCGGCTCTAGTCCAGCTCTAGTCCATCGGGGAGTTCAGGAAACACGATTTCACTTGCATGGAGGAATAGGGATTAAATAGGCCATTCACCTGCAGGACTGCAACAGCCAAAGAGAGCACGAGGATTCCAGTGTGGGAGAACGAATGAATTCGAGTGGAAGTTCAACTGGGTTTCCCCGCGGCTAAAGATGGGGCCGATAGAGCAGCAACCTGCAGGTCGTTTGAGCAGTACGTGGACCTGTACTAACTAACTACCCATACATTACAGCGGTTCTGTCTGTAAATCTCGAACCTTTTCTTATCTTCTTTCGTTGGAAGCATCCAGTTGGGGGCGGAAGGGATCAGGATATCATCCCGCCCGCCCCAGTTAGTTATATTGCGTCCTGCGTCCTGCGGATGAAGCAGAGAAGAAAAATCGAAACTGACTAGGAGCAGTAGCAGCAGAAGCAGCAGCAACGCAGAGAAGAGTGGGCTGTCCAATCTTTCGGCTTCCTTTCAATCGTCACCAGAAAACCAGACATGATCTCAATGTCAAACACCCATCCAATAATGCCTAGCAAATTTCGGTCCGGCTGGTTGGTTGGCTTTGATCGGTTGCACTGTTCAATCAACCCTCCCCTCTTGGGCGATACAAAAAGGATGTACTGCGTAGTTACGCCGCTGAAAAATAAATAAGCAATAAGTCAGTCATATTTACTGCGAAAGGGTAGGCAGGCAGCGTGGAAAATTGACAGTTCATATATTGCGACCCGGGCCAACTACTCCTGCCTTTACCGCCTTTCCTGTAATTTGGTGTTTTCTTTCTTTTTATTTTCTTTCTTTTTATTTTCTTATTTTTTTTTTCCCGAGCTGGTCCTCAACCTGCATTGTGCATTGTGCATCGTGCATCGTGCATCGTGGATTGTGTTTCGGGTGTCATGCGAATCGCAAGGGTCAGACATTGGCTTTTCCTGCTGTTTCGGTTTTTTATATAGTTCAAAAATAGCTGTAGCACATAGAGTACATAAGGAAGCGCAGATTCGGATGTCATATCTCTGCCCCTGGTCCTCTCGTCATAGCATGGAGGTCGTAGCCTCATATACTACTCCGAGTGTAGAGAGTCATAGGGGTTGTTCAGCCGGAGAAGAAGCTTGAGGCCAAGCATGGGTGCGTCGACGCCAGCGCAGAACCCGGGCGCCACCAAGAACAGTGAGGCGTATCCGTTGCTGTACTATGTTATGTCTCTGTAATGTGTGGTAATAATACATGTACCTGTTATCAGATTGCACGGTCCCCTAATAGGAACATAGCGGGCTGGTCGTCGTCATCAGCAGCCATTAATTTTGGCTGTCAAGGGCTATGTACTGTACGTAACTGGTGAGAAACGCTTGACCGAACCGCCACTCCCCGCAAAAGTAATCATAATAATCATCATCGTAATAATAATAATAATAATAATAATGATAATAATAATAACAATAGTGATAATGAGAGCTATAGGGCATAGGAATTTATGACAATGCCTC